TTCAACATCCAGCTGAAGGTAATAGGGGACTTAATGCCTACACAAAATAAAGTGATTTAGCTATAATGTCTTGACCTAAATAAGAGTTTCTTGTCCGACTCTCAACCATCCAACTTGAGCTGACAATTGCGTTTGAAGATGGTTTATGGTACTAAACTACTTTCTTTGTATTTCTGACTGTTACACTTTAACGAATGAGGTGTGAGAAGACGATTAACTGACCGAATGACATGATCTTTCACAGAAGTCACACCGTACGATGCTTGATGAACCTGGTTCACTTTGACCTAGTGGTTGGAATGTTCTGCTTTATAAATACCCCTAGAGAACGGACAAAGACCTCTTCGAGTAATATTTTTATTAAAAAGAGTGGAGTATGATCGCACTACCGCTTAGATCGACCCAATGTAGTTAATTAGTTGACCTGCTTCGGTCACGTTTGACCTTGATAGAGTCATAGACATTCCATTTTTCAGTGATCAGTCTTCTAAAGTAGGGGCGGTCCAACTTGGTGGATGGTAGTGTTTTATGATAATTTACTGGACTTATATATCTATCTACCTTTGTCCATATTTGATGTTTTTCGTCTGTCGTGATACAGAATATCTTTCGAATCTTGTTTTTGATGTTAATTAATTATTCTTTGTTGCTTAGCTACGGTGGTCACTTCTGTTATTCATTTACAATGTGGGGCCCAGTTAACTAAATAAACGAGATGATCCACAATTGTACTACTAAATCTGTGAAACGGAATTAAGAATAGGTAGTTACCTTGTTAAACTTAACATCATTCAAGATTTGTGTGCTAAGGTTGAGCGTATACATTTACCGACTTTGTAGTAATTATGGCTGAGAGATCGGTACAGGTATATCCGTTAGAGATTGGTTCTCCCTCATCCACATTCGTCAGTTTCCCTGCATTAAACGGTTGTTTCATTTGCATTTAGTTTTTGTAGGGGTAGAAGTGTATGAGACACTCAAAGTCATATCATCCTATTCCGCTATTAATTCCATTAAATCTATCAGCGTTGACATAATATTTCAGGTATCTAATAGGGATGTCACGATAATGCATGTATCACCAATTCGCTGACCATTAACAGAGAAGAAATTAGACGGGTTCATGCACTTGCCTCATTTATCCTTACCCGAAAGCTATATGAGGCGATAAATAAATTGCCGCAGCAAATAGATCTGTAAGTGTTCGACGTCGGTGCCGGCTTGATTATTTTCCCCTGACACAGTCCTTGCTGAAAGAGCTTGATCAGGCATCCGCACTAGGCCGTTTTTCAGTGTACAATACCACACATTTCTTACACCAACTATTGGGCCTAAATTACATACTCCTCGACGTACTGGTTATTTTTCTTAATAAACCTTCGAACTCATTGAATATTGACTTCTGATTTGATCATCTTTGAGATCCGTGATTACTAAGTTGTTATAGTGTTGTTGCCATGCCCTAAACAACCCTATCATTTTGACTTACAATTTAGCAACTTTTTAGCATGATTGGATAACATTAGAAGGAAGGGAGTTGATTACATTATGTTGTGAGATAAATTAAATAGAGCACACTGTTTATCCAATGTAATCCTGTCAGACGGTTACAAGTGTGATACACAAAATCCTTGATGACCAGGTCGTTAATGAGCGAACACTCAGATGAGATCCCAATTCTTCAAATTATTATTATTATCCACAAACATCTTATGTGTACATAAGTGTTGTAAAGAAACCATTTCGGGTTTCTTCAAAAATGCGATAGTACACAAGCTTCAATAACGCCAGCATTATATTTGCCATATTTGAGAAAGAGAAAAAAGATAACAATGATAACTGAATAATAACAAACCAGGTTTTGTATAATTGAGAAGAATAATGAGTTGACTTTAAAGAAGGAAAGGGCGAAAATAAAGGAATAGAAATAAAGGAGACTCGAAATACGTAACTAGTTTAATAAGTGTTTGTGAACACAGAACAAGAATAAACGACTATGTATGTATCGCCAAATGAGTAACAAAAATAAAATAAAACAAAGTAAATAAGAAAAATAACTCGTAATGCTATGAATTAGAAGCATTGGTGAAAAAATTAAGGTCGCTCATCGTAGCTGTTACGGAAACTTGGTTATCCCACGACTTCGACATTACTCCAGAATTATCCGGATATCACCATCTAAGAAGTTATAGATATAGATGTAGGAAAGAATGTGGCGTCCTTTTGTACATAGCCAATAATATAAATATCTGCTGCTTTGTTTGCGAATCCCATGACAGTGGAACATGTGAAGTCATTAGCTGTGAACTCATCATCAGATGTTGTACATTTATATTCGGTGTCATCAATCACAGCCCAATCTGCTTAGCAGACGACTTGACTTTAGAGTACATTCAGCTATGGAGTGTAAAAAGCAGATGCTTGATATTATGTGACTTTAATGCAACTGATATTAGTTGGACTTCGATGGCCACGGTAAAATTTATAAACCCTTTTGATAAGAGAATCCCGGTAATGAAGTATGCATTATCACAGCATGTATACGAACCCACATGTTTTAGTTCAAGCCAAGTTTTTTCGTTGTAAGAATTGGTAATCACCCATGCGACTGAGGATATTAGCAACCTAAATATTATTCCACCGTTGGGGAATAGCAATGAGACTGTTTTGTCATTCATGTTCAGAGCTTGTGAGATCATATACGATCTGGTTGAGCCTCACCCAGATGTATAGAGAGCTAACATATCAGCCATTCATGAATGTGCTGCTAAGACAGATTCGTCAGTAGATACCAGCTCATCAATCGAAGAAACGTGGACTATATTTAAAAGTAAGCTTATTTCAGTTACATCGTCGTTTATACCATGCTTAGTACTGCGTAGACTTAATAACTTTCTCCTGTGGACAACTTAAGGGATCAAGAAACTTCTAGGATGTAGGAAAAATCATCAGAATATATGTTCACCTCTACAAGCTTAGAACAGTATATATCCAGTTACTGTGAAACTAGGAATGCTTAAAAGGCGTTGATAAGTAAGACCAGACAGTAATGTGAAAACAATCGGTTAGGGACTGTGAAAATAGTCTGAAAAGGTTATTATCACTTACAAAGAGGTGAACTTAGAGAAGTGATGGAACCCCACTACTTTTAGTACAAGAAAATCCGTCGATATTGGCAAGAAATAATACCAAAAAGCCAAAGCTTTATCGAAATAGTTTAGTAAATCGTTTTCTACCAGCAATAAGGAACGGCTAACGGTTAATTGCGATTGGGGCAGTTTGTCAATGGATCCTGTATTTACTAATAAAGGTACTGCCTTAAAAATACTTCAACAATTCACCTGATAAGTCCAGTGGTATTGACGATATTCATCCTACGATTATGAAAGCCCTATGGAATTTAATTACTGAACCTATAGACATACTGTTTGATAAGTTTCTGCAGTAGTCTAGACTGCCAACAGACCGGGAAGACGCAACAATTAGTCCGATGTATAAGGTGGGGAGCAGAGACTTATTTAGTAACTATCAACCCGTAAGTCTGACCAATGGAGTTGTAGAAAAGATTATGTGGAAGGGAATAATCTTTTAGCCAGGGCACAACACGGTTTTTAGAAAGGCCTATCATGCTTAACAAATTTGCCTATTCTTAGAGAAAATTGGGCTGTAGTTAAAGGTCGAAATATTCATGTAGATGTAGTTTTCACAAATATAGGTAAAGCTGTAGACAGTATCCCCCATTCGGGTTTTAAATTAAAACTGGAAAGTTTTGAAATCCATTGAAAAGTCACATAATGGATAAGTGAGTTTCTCACTGATAGGAGATAGCGGATAAGGGTGAGTCAAGCTCTCTCAGCGTGGGAACCTGCAAAAGATGGAGCCTCCCAAGACTCAATCTTTTCTCCTCTTCTTTTTTTATTCTATGTAAATGAATTATCAACTGTAGCAAATCCACCCGTTCTTCTCTTCACCGATGACATAAAGATTTGGAGACCCATACATAGTATGTCAGATAGAAGAGTATTACAGGATGATCTCATTTCGTGTGTGGCATTGATGGGCGGGTTGTTACTAGAAGTAAATTCTGACAAGAGTGTTTTGATGCAAATAAATAACTATAATGATTCATATCACCACCCAATCTGATAGAATTTGAAGATTTAAGAGTCATAACAAGCAGCGACCTCAAAACTAAGAGTAACCTCAAGGCTGCTGCTGCCAAAGGCTTAAGGGTATTATGGGCTGTTTGTACGTCTTTTCAGTACTTGGATGAAGAAATGTTTAAAGTATTATAGCCAACTGTGGTGAGACAGCACTTCGAATATGGGATTTAAGCAGCGAGTCCTTTTTTCAAGTATGAGGCGGATATGCTGGAACGACTCCAACAACGAAGGGCTAAAATGGTAAAAGATCTCTCTTGGCCTGTCTTGTGAAGACAAACTGAGACACAACTTATTTTCGTTATCGTACCGTAGATTACGGGTGATCTAATATTGGCTTATCGTATACTGGACAATGACCTTGGTATTAATGTCTTATCTTTTCTTTCTATTTAAGACTGGCCATTTGGAAGGAAATTCTAAGAAAGTTCAAGAACGGAGATCAAATCGTCTACGTCCGGGGTTCCGTTTCTCTCATTGAATTGTGAATCACTGTAATTCTCTACCAGTACATATAATATCAGCACCTTCTGGTGATACATTCAAAACTACACTGGACCTTCACAGCGTTACAAACTGCAAGAATTAGCGTGATCCGATAGACCTCTTGTCCTTATTACTGAAGACTGAAGAGTGAACTATTAGTCTTGAGGGTTAGGAGAGCAGATTATCTAGACAAACATCAATCATCACAATCAAAAATTGTGAAACAGTCCCTTTATGGCAAGACACAATAACAAGGAAATCAGCTATCTGGTTACTAGTACCTTGATAGTAACGCAAAAAGGACGCCTGCGAGACAGAAACTGAAGGTTTAAAATAATGCTCTTGGAGCGCCCTGTTCAATCGTTGAGCGTGTAACGCGTTCAAATAGTACCCCACCAACTCTCAGTTTCGGTTTTCAGATTGTCCTGATCTTGCGCTCGCGTCATTGCTAATTGTTGTCAACCGCTTTCATTAATAGATGTAACTTCATTTTGTATTCTTGATGATTCATTTTCCTTATATCTTCAGATATATTTGAACGTTCCCCCAGTACACAACGTACCACCACATATTAGCATCTCATTAAAGGATTTACTCCTACGACAATTCCAGCCGTTTAGTCGAGTTGCACATTGCAAACCACAGGATGGAAGAAACTGAACATGTTGCCCGGCGGCTCGACCGCATGCTAAAAAACAAAAAAATAGTATGCTTTGGTCCAGCTTTCGTAATGTATTTTCTCAGGATGATGAATCTGCGCTGAAATACCTTAGGAGATTGCGAAGCATCGAGATGACTCTGGAGATCTTAACGAAAACCGGTGTAGGTATAATTATCAACAAGATAAGAAAGGAGTCAGAAGATCCGGAGGTTGCTACATTGGGGAAAAACATGATAAAGCAGTGGAAAAAGCTGGTCCCAGGTAGGTGAATTTTGTGCCGAAACTCTTGAATATATCTCTTGGCTTCTGGGTTTCGTATCAATGAAATGTCTTGGGACGATAATCTACCGTTTACTGTCTTGAATTTTGACTCAAAATCCATTCGTTACTATGACCTTTATTCTAATTCCTTGTCCCAACCTATAATCCTAACTTCTAGTCTCGTTTCCTCACACTGATAAACAAACATGTTTCGACCACAGCACGTGGTCTAGGTCTCTCAAGGACGCTAGTATTTCTCAAAGGTCGTCCGTAAATTTTATTACCGTAAAAGTGGTATCATTAGTAGTAGCAGTAGTTGCGGTCAAAGTTTAATGATCACTCGTCCCAGACCTTTGGAGCCAATCCATCTGGACCAGCTGCCCTTCCTCATTTCAGATTAGCTATAGCTTTCGGAACGTCAACTAGAGTCGAGGGACCTATTACCATTCATGCTGCTTGGGAATGGTATCTAGTTGTAGAGTAGCTGTAGGCCAGCTGAACTGCTCTTTACAGTGTTCCGCCCATCGTTCTCAACGTCTGGGCTGAGGGCACATAAGAGTGCCATTTTTTTCCGAGATACTCTCACGCTTGACTTCTTAATTGCAGTTTTTTTATTAGTCTGAAAAGCTGTCTGGTGTTACCTACAGCCGCTGCTGTTTCCATTTCTTCTGCTTTCGTTGCCCACCACTGCTCACAGTCGTTCCTTAGACTTTTGGTTAACCTAGATCTGATTTGTTTTCGTCCTCCATCGTATTCAGAGCCTGATGGGATGAGTTTATGAGGATCCGTCAGTGCAATAGACTTAATAGAAATCCACTGGTTTTTCGTAACCCCTTTGGTTTAAACCACTATTAGATGTCCTTGTTGTTCTCACAGGTGTTCGTATCTTTTTCCAAGTAACATCTGGGTCATCCTCGTTTTCAGAACTACCTAAGTGTGACCTCAGTTGTTCCTGGAATCTACTTTTGGCTTTCTCATCACTGAGTTCAAATTGATTTGGTCTTCTTAATGTGATTTTTCTGCGTCCATTGAGGCGCGAGCAAATGCGTGCTTGTATTAGAGCATGATCGGAGTTCAAACAGGTATTCCAGAACGTGCGACAGGCCTCTATAGAGCTTCTCCAACAGTGACTGATGGCAATATGGTCTATTTGAGTCCATCGTTGGTTTGGTGCAAGGGTTCGCCGTGTTGAACGATGTCTCTCCTTATGCTTAAAATTAGTGTTTGCTAAAAATAAACGATTATCTGAGCACAGTTGCAACAGACGATCACCATTATCTGTTCGCTGAGCCGGAGTAATGAAATACCTACCTAAATGTCTTTCTATTTGGTTTAAGTTACCTACTTAGGCATTAAAGTCACCTACTATGAGTACTATATCTGAGTGTTTAGCTTTATGAAGGTGTTCAGAGAGCTTTCACTTCACTCAAGCTGCAGTTAGTGGGAGCGTAGGCAGAAATGACGAAAAGGCAACGACGTGTCCCTGTCTTTCCGAGTTCTTACGGAGCCGTTCAGCCGAACAGCACATAGGCGACTGTTAACAGGGATCCATTCTAATAGTGCTTAGTGCTATACCCACACCCACCAGTTCACGAGAACTACCCATCAGGTTGCCAGACACACGGAGGGTGTATCTCGTCGGTTCTCCGTTTTAGCGAGGTGAGGTCAAGTGAATGAACACACTAGAATCCTGTATGCGTGTTTTGGAGACACAGCATACATCAATGGTACGACATTTTATGGTTTTAGCCAAGGAGGGCTGTTGGTCGATTTGAAATAGAGTGAGTACGTTGAAGTCTCCAATCTGTAGTTTTGAGCGAGGTTTCAGCAGACTTGGGACAGTGTTTCGCGCGCTAAAATCGTTGGCCATGATGACACTTGAGGAGGAAGTTTAGAGTTGGAAGTCGACGTAGGAGGAATAATAGGGATTGTATAGCGAGATTGATTTTGAATACGAAGGTCTTGAGTACTGTTAGAGGTATGTGGGCGGTTATCACTTCCCGGTTCCCCACACTGTAGAAGAGATGTTCTGGGGGGGCCTGAAAGGGAAATTCGGTTAGTGGTGGTCTTAGTGCACTGAGAGCGTGACCGCAGTACCCAAGGGAAAACTGCTTGAGGTTGTTCACACAAGACCAATTTGTGAGTAATTTTCGTGTTAGCTCCGTACTTGTTGAGACCTTACTGCTGGAGACGGAAATCCGTGGGATAAGGCGGTGTGCATGTTTAGGGTCGATCTATTCTAACCCCACCCTTCGTTGTGGAAAGGCAACATCTCTGTCATGCGGGTTGTCTGAAGGAGACACCTTACTGCTGCCACACCTCGGTAGTACGACTTCGCCCTCGGACCTTGGGTTTACTGCTTTTGGTCTTACCGCTTTTCAACCGACTTACCTGGCATCGTAGGACCTTGAGGGACAATTGTTCCAGCCAGTAAAGCTCGATTGGTTCATGAAGATAGACAAGCCCGACCACTACGTCAAGGTAGCAGCAACGGTCGAGTTTTGATAGATTGGAAAACTAAAGATGGGTAGAATAAGGCATGAAGTCCATTCAGTCTTTCACTATCGTTTTTCTTGTGAATGTGAAACATTGCATCTAAGAATCGAAAGCACGCAGTGGTTGATAGCATTTGGACATAGCTGTCTGGAAGGGATTAGTGGTGTACATTCAGACTTTTTGGCTAAGCAGTAAATCTTGGAATGCTATGTAAGTAGTTGACTGCCTCATATTACCAGCTTTCAACTACTGAAGTAGCTGGGACAGTAAAGGCTTCAATGTAAAGTGAGATCGGAAGGTAAACAAAGATGGTCCAATGTTTTTATTTATAATTACTTCAACATATCGTATTAAGATATTAATAATAGTAGTAAAATCAAGCTATTTGATTTTGTTGTTCCGAATCTGCATATCTTTAAAGTATGTTATACTTGTGTCAGGTTCACCTCTTAAAAGAGATCTTGTTTCTGTTCCTCAGGTAAAGCAATTGTTAACCTTGATGGCATATTATTTTCCAGCCAAGTGCTTAATATAATCATAGTGCTAAACCAGGGAACTATACAAACTATTAGTCGTTACTGATATTTTTGAGAGGTTACTAACGATTTCTTTTTATATTTTGTTATATTTTAGACAAAAGTGAAGCTCCTGCATCTTGCACCAATAGTGTTGGCAATAACAATAATGACAGTGGCAACAATAATGACAACAAACATTCACCTGAGTCAAATAACTACAATGTCTGTGACGATGGAGGACCACAAGAAGCCAAACGGTCTCGGCCAAGTGAAAAGAAGGAATCTACAGAACTGTCGGGAAATGCAAGTCGTGGCTTTTTTCCTGTCCACACTTTGACTACAACAGATCAAGTACGTTTAAAAGCCAGAGAGATGCTTCAATCAGCACTAGAAAGTGGCAGTAAGTGACAGTAGCAGACCTACACTGATTTCCTTTCTTAGATATTCCTAGCGGTGCTTATGAAAGTGAGTTCCTAGCAATACGAATAGAAAGCTCCATATATGATCTTTTCAACAATACTGATCCCAAGTACAAACAACGAGTACGTACTAGAGTTATGAATCTACGCGATTCTAATAATCCCAATTTGCGACTTAATGTCCTAATGGGACACGTGAGTCCGGACAAACTAGCATCGATGACATCAGAAGTAAGTTTTCATTATTTTGTTGAAAATCCATGTATATTTTTTCTCAGTAATCTACCATTTTCAAACGAACTTTACAGATCAGCTGATATCTTACCGAACTTGATTCTGTCATCGATTAATACTCCTATCTTTAGTAGTAGTATGAATTGATCAGTTTATAACGTCTGGCTTTGCTCACATTAAGCGTGAGTTGTCCTAAACTCTTTCATTTGTATAGTTTCCTCAATCTATTCACAGAGTGTTTGAACTTGAGCGACCCACCTAACTCATTTAGCTGACCGATCTTTTATACAAATAGTTCAGTGATTGGTAATTTGGAAGCAGTAGCATCGTAGAGCTTGATATGTATGTAGATCAGTTCAAGTTACCATACCTCATTAGCACAGAGATGACATTGTCAGACCAAATCCAAGAGTGTCAGAGGTAGTGACAGTACCAGTGGTAATGGAAAGGATTAAACATCGAAGATAAGATTCAAGAAAATATAAGTTAGTGGAATAAAAACAAAATTATATGGAATTCAAAAATAATCTTAGGTGCTATTGGAGGTATGAGGACGATTGTTACTTCGCGGCTACCCACACCATGGAACAATGTTTTGCTGACTTACTAGCGAATAACCACTTGGTCTCTGTCAAAAAGTTCATCGAAATGTCGGAAAACCATCCGTTTTCTGTATCGTTTATTTAGTAACCTCAATTTTTATTATCCTAATTATTTGAATGCTTATCAACCCACTTTGCAAGTTTGAAGCCTACTTTGCTTGAGTGTTGGTAATTTTCTTCTAATCAACATGTACTTAGCTAGTTGGTTGCCTATTTAAAGTTTGTTGGTTAGCGTTATATCAACGATATCTCACTCAATATCAATCTATTCAATATTCGTCATAGAAGTACCAATTTAAAAAGCATTGTATGATTTTGGTCAATTTTGGGATTCTTCGGATAGCTATGGAAGCAAACTTGTTACATTTTTGAGCTATCTGTATTCAGTTGTAAGACGTGGTTTCTCGTATGTAAATCAAACTTAAACCTTTTACAACCATGCCAACACTACCACAGTATTAGTGTTATCTAAGACTACCACTGACCATTATGAGTTGCACTTTAAAGGGTTGATCGGATCAACCAAATAACCATCTAGGTACACTTAAAAGTAGGTTATTACATACTGTCACTTCACTGGAGGCGTTTTTACAGTTTCCAACATACGTAACATACTCTTCCGGGGCAACATCCAGCGGTTGTAATGGAAGAGGTTGTACAAGTTTCTTGTGCACATATATTTCTTGTTTTTCCAAATATGTAGCAAATGCCTCGGCAACGCTAAGAAAACAGAAGCTCACTGTCCTTGGCAGTTTTCTACTCACTTTATAAATGAGTGGATACTGAGTCCTCTTTGGTGAGACGACTTACTTCCACATGGTGTTTGATTAAAGAGCTTCCTATTGAGTCATTGTCGCCTCTTTTTAGCCAAGCTGTTTAATGTTCTTGAAGTCTTTTGGATGAAATACACATCGAACGACATATATACCTGGCTCCACAGGAATATGTTATTTGATGAACTCACATGGGATTGGTCAAATGAGTTAATTCATCTTTGAGGTTATTACTAAACATTGGCCGACTGGAGGATACTTATTGCAAGGTTGCTGCGAAGAACAATCTATTGAAAGTCAGCAATTATGCTCTTCAGGATATCTTTATTTATTTTGCCTCACTATTATTGCCATTGTTATTATTTTGAAAAATATGTATAGATTGGTGATTATACAGCTTTGAAAATGGATTCGTCGAAGAGATCTCTTCGCTAAACCAATCTTCCTTAGTTAATATGACAAGCTATTAGGTTAGACCAAATGAATACCTATGATTTCCAAATACGTTATATAATTCCTTTTCAAAATAATCCAATAATTCATTATCCGAATATTATAGTGCACCCAGTTTATCATTCATTCACAAGTATTTGAGGTCATAAAAATATTTGCATGCATAAATCCTCTACAAATTATAAAAGTGGCACAATTTTTCAAGTCCGTTTTTAGAAGTATTGCTCTTGTTATCGAATGGTTTAACTTTTTAGTGACATATAGGTTGATCGATTGAAGTGAACTAATACGTTGTGACCAATTAATTGACAACTAATCACGAGATACAACCTTCTGACTTATTACAACAGCCTAATAATCCGTGCTATCTCTACTGAGTCAGTTGGTGGTCATCAATATTCAGTCTATTCGGGTTTCTTTGTAATGCTCATTATTGATCATACAACTAATTATTTTCAGGACCATGTACACACAAAATCCACTTTAGTTTCCCGAATCTATTCATTAAAAGCAAATAATGATACCATATGTGAAAGTTAGATCTGTGTTGTTTACGAAAGCTGCACGCACCAATTCAGAATGATTAAAGGAATAGCAACAGAAGTACTAGTGTTAGTCACTTAAATACAATAGGACCTTGTGCTGTTTCCTAACGGGGCTTGCTTCAATAATGTTTTTGATTGACTGTTACAGACCATCTATCGATCAACATGTTATCCACTAATCTTAACTGGAATATGACTAAAGCTAATTCGAAACCCCCCCCATGTTATAATTTAATCTTAGTAGGATACGTAACTATTTTCTTAAGTTCCTTATTTGTTGATTTGATTGTGTAGGAGATGGCTAGTAAAGAAATGAAAGAACTTCGTGAGAAATATACTAAAGAAACTATAGAAGACCATCAAATGGCTGTAACTGGTGGAACGGAAACTGATTTATTACGATGTGGAAAGTGTAAGCAGACCAAGTGTACATATAACCAGGTTAGTTGCCTTTAATTATCCTCAAATAAAATCTGGAAATAAAAGTCATCATTGATGACGGTAGGTGATGATCTTACTATATCACAAATTAACTGAAATTGTAAGTGCAAACCATTAGGTCCAAAGTGAGTGACTTATAAGTTGCAAACTTGCTGCGTGGCCATAAATTTCTGGACTCAAGCTCCTTCGGAGTTATGAATGTGCATTGCTAAGAAATTTCAGATCAGGACAGGACAGTAGATAGTGCCTTTTTCTTCTATCGCTGATGTCCTCCAGTAATAAAGATATATTCACGTTAAACTAAGTAACATATCCTACTCGACTGAATACGAGATTATATAAAAGTATTTGTTTTTGATCACAACTCATATTCTATAATTACTTGTTGCATTAAGAAAAATCTGTTCATCACGTAACTGTTGTACGTTGACTAACAGTTACATGCGTTTTGCAGTGATGCAATCTTGTTAATGTTCAGCTTTAGTTCATTTCTGATTTAGTGCTATTTCTGTCCATAATTCGTTATGCATGAATTCTATATTCTCAATTATCTTGTATATTTTGTCATTCGTTTTTGTCTATATCAGGTTATTATATGAAATGTTTCCAAATAAAACATATTCATTTCCACCAAACATTTTTATGTGAATGCTTTTCCATGTTCTGTTATTTCAATCTAAAAAGTGATAATAAATGCGAGTCGATCGGTAGTCAGCACATTTTGTGATATGAAAACTTCAGTAAATATGTATCTGCTTTTCATAGGCACTGGTATATTTCGCTTATGCTATCCTTTGCTCCCTACCTATTTATACAGCTCACATTTTAATTAAAAGTTACAACATGCAGTATCATTTTATTTACTTGATACGGTAGGATTCAGTCATTTTTGTCTTTTCTCAACTTGTGTTATATTCTTTTAGAAACATATATACTTCTTCTTTCCATAGGTCCAAACTCGTAGTGCAGATGAACCAATGACCACTTTTGTCTATTGTAACAATTGCGGCCACCGTTGGAAAGTAAGTTCCACTTAATTGCTTTGTTATAATTTCACATGTCTGGACCTTACTTTAGGGGGCTTGTTTATATTAGTCGCAATAAATCTCCCTAGTTATCTCGTGCGCTCTCAGTGAATACTCCTTTACTTGAAGCAACTCTAATATACTTTTGTTGCTTAGTAAAAGCTTTTCCAAATGAAGATCTACTAAATGAAATCTTGAATTGTAACAAGTCTCGAACTATACATTTTCACAACTGGGGTGTTGTAATAACGTTCTCCATCATACTTATTTTAAAGCTGTTTAGCTTAAACCCTAACTAGTGATGTTATTGGATTGTGGCGCTGCTACATGGCCAGGAATAGTCCTGCACTGTTGATTGTAAAGTGAATTAACAAATTGACCTAATTTTCTATAGTGGTTACGGTCTATTTCACACTTACCAGCTCATTAGCATGTAGGTAGCTTGTTGGAGATTCAATCGATCACTGTTGACATTGATTCCAAATCTTTTCGCAAAGCCATGCCAAAATAGAATTTCCGTAATAAGCTTAAAATCTATGGTTAAACTACTTCTATGTTCTTAAATGCCATTTGCTAAAAAAGCATTTTTGGCGGGTTCTTCCAGAGTCCCAACTTGTGCTTATTTCTTATTCTTATCAATTTTGAACGTTGAATGTATCAGATGTAAACAAATAGTTTCTCATTGGAGACAATTCAATATAGTTGACAGGAACTAGTTTCGTGATGTAATGAAGTTGGAAGTAAAAGTGGATGACAATGTGAATGTCATATAATACCACAAAAACTAAAGCAATTGAATAACTTATTTTTTGCATAGTAAGATTGAGTTGTATTAACTCCTCAGTCTGTTTTTGTATATTATGTCGTGATTTAAAAAAAATAGCTATGTTACTGTTCAGGTTCCTGGATCCAAACAGTTGTTTTTCCGAGGGAGCTGACTATCTTCAAGCTTGTTGTGTAAAAGCTCAATCCATAAAGCAATTAAACAACGTTGGGGAATGCATTTCCATAGTATCCGATGACTAGGTGAACGTAGATTATTACTCTATTTCCAATCAAAAGTCAAAATGATGCTTATATGTTCACCAGTAATAAGGAGTTTAACGCAAAACAGAAATCTGTTGTCATTAAGTTGGTGTTCATTAGCATGTGCACTCATGAGCTGATTTATTTACAACCCGACATTAATTGATCATCTAATCATTTTTTCAAGTAAGTTGTCTGTCTTTTTTTCTTGTAATTATAACATTGTTTACAACAAACATTTGAAAATTTGTTTTTCTAACAGTTTTGCTGACAGCTCGGAAAAATTGTCCAACCACACTTATCCACTAATTTTCTGCTGCGATACTTAATTAAATTGTTTCAATGTGAACACTAATACTAAAGAAGAAACTAGAGAAGAAATATCCATCTTCGTTTTTGACTTTGCTCATTCTCGAAAATCTGTTTTTTAGGAAGAAATAGACTGTCATAGTTGGACAAAAAGATGAATTATGTCCCATTATTTTTTTTTGCGACTTGTTGTCTTACATTGTCTGTCCAAATATATCTGACACTTGTGTGTAAATATTTTGCATGTATATGTTGGTGTTTGCGAATCGCTCTACATGAAAATGTCAGTTTTATTACATAAAATCTTTATAATATACTTTGGTAAAAATGTATAGGGAAACAGTTTTCCGCTGAGATTGTCGACCTGTAAAGTTGCTACTATACTCCTAGTGTATATTTTACCGCTTTATGTAACACACAATAATTGTTATTCTATTTTTAAGTCCTCATTGTATTAAAAAAAACCATGATTTATTTATATATATTGTTTCTGTAATTTTGCTTTAAGACTGTTCATAATTAAAGTAATCTTCATTAATTCGTCTACAATATTGCCCTTCCTATAGCAGCTTTAAATTGTACACAAATAAAATAGTATTACTTGTTTTAATCCGTATTTCAGAGTGATATGGTAAGTTATGGCTAATCAAAGCTTTGCCAACATTGTATCAGTCTTATTTGTTAGAATATTGTCTAGACGATTCTTTCATCCATCCAGTCATTCGAACGCTATGTAGAACCTGGCATACATGTGCATCGGCTCAAGCTTCCACACCATATCAACGTAGGGAGATCCCAGATTGTAAACTTAATAGAAATATCCGTTGTGGTAGGAAAAATTCGGCATAAACAATATGATTATAGGAGACATGAATTTGTGAGATAAAAAAGTACAAGGGGATTTCAAAACTCGAGATCTGAGATCAGACAAAGATCCCTGTTTAACAAACACAAGTCAACTGGAGAGTGAGATGACCAACTCATTTACCCTTAGCAAATCAAAATCATGTCACCTATATCTTATGATTATTGGTTTGTGAAATCATTTTAAACTCAAGTTTTTTATCGTAATGGAGCATTTATCTTTTGTTCAAATCAACTTTGTTTGACCAGCTATATGTATTAGATCTACCACTAACTGATTCATTCGACAAAAAGTTTATATAACTTTTCATGAGTACAGTGTTTATTAATCTAAACAACTATCAGTGAAATAGTTATGTTGCCCTCGTAAACACTGCAGTTTGTTTGCTAGATACGAAGCTGAATTGAGAGATTGAATTCATACATAAATTATTCGTTATTTACTGGAAAAACAGGATTTAGAAACTAATAAGTTAATTAAACTGCGGAAATATGTTACTACTGATTATAATCCTACTACAGATTTTAGACTTAAAGTACTAGGTAAAGATGGTAAGTCGGTTGGTGAAGTAGAGAATATCCATCGACTGTAGTGATTGGGATACGTATTATGTTTACCAAAATACAGTGGAAGCGTGTTGTTTGATGGTGTAAGATTTCGTTGGAAGAAAGCTAGGGATGGCCAAACCAAAACGTGTTTTGAGTTAAACTGAGGTAGGTGGGTGAAGTTACGAAGCTATAACTTAAGGGTTGGAAGTTGAGTGCTTTAGCCTCTTAGTCACAATGGCTTGAAAATTCAGGTAGAAAACAATATTAAAGACAAATTTTGGTCATCCATATTGTCGGGTAATCTGAATCTCTAGTTTCGCAAAATGGACTGTTAGCATCCTGAATATGTAGAAAATGCAGGATAGGGTGTATCAAGTGCGAAAATATAGAATAATTAAAGTTTATTCTTAAATAAAATGCACACTTTGTCCCCAAGTACCTACAGAGAATTACTAAAGTGTAAAAAACAATTTTTCCTCATTATAACATATACCGAACACTTAGAAACCCAATGAAATGTATCATAAGCTTACTACGTTATTTTGTGATTTTTTTTTAAATGACAGCTGTCCAAACATCGTTTTATCTACTGTTAATCAACTTTTGAAGAGTGGCTGCGATAAAATCTGATAAGCTTTCAGTTTACATTAAATATTACATTCACATCTGACAATTTTACTCCCATTTGTTGAAGGATTAGTATTTTAATTAAAAAATCCCTCTTACGAGTTTCTGGTTGGTAATCAATTTCATGTTATTGAATCATTAAAGTTAGTGGAAGCATAACTACTAAACCTACAATATTGTTATTCATTTACGTGAGTTGTCAATTTTAGTGTATTATATTGAAAGTTAAGCATTCTACCAATTAGTTGAAAACAAATTATAAAAATCTATCTAACTATTATACTGAGTAAAACACTGTATTGACCCCCTGCTAATGAATACAAACCACTACCAATACTTTTCTTACAAAAAATCAAAGTTTAAACCTTTAATGATCAATATACTCCATTTATAGTTTTATTGTCAGTTCAGTCTTCTCATTTATACATAACATTAGGGTGAATAGTTACACAAAGAAATAATTCACTTTAAATGATCAGCTCGTAACGTACACGGTTCTTAGTCCGGATCGAATTCTGTCGATTAAATTTGTCTAGTGGCCATTAAAGACTATATGTAATTGGTTGCTATTTCATACTAATATATCAATATGCTGCGTTTGAAGAGATTACGAGATCACTTAAAATCAGCAACACAACGACAAGACAAGCTTAACATTTCCGTTGCGTCCCAGCCCCGCTAATTAGAGGGGGAAAGACGTGGTACAGATGAAGGAGAGGTATGTTCCACAAGTAGCCAGAAGTACTAACAACCGAGCATACATCTCAAGCGTATATATGCAGCATAAAAATGTTCATCTGATACAAAATATTCAAAGGGAACGGATGAATGACATTTAGCGTCCTTTCAAGTAGGAAATACCATCTGAAGGTGAAAATAGGACGTTTACGAAGTGATTTCTTGTAACCGAGCATCCCCAACACAACAGGCGTTACAATCTTTATTCAGGCTAGTCGTGTCTTTGACTTCGACAGCGAGTAATATTGATTCATATCTCTAGGGAAGGGGCTCCAGCTTACCAAGGATTGAAACACTGCTTTGCTAATAAATAGGAACTATCACCAACCCCTTTCTAGGAGCTTTAATACTAGCTGTACCCGATCACAAACCTTTGTTTGTGATAATTGACAAAGATTTTTAGTAGTAACCGGTTAATGTTAGATTTTATTAGTACAGGATAATGTACACTTAATTAGGTGACTTTCACAGGAAAAACAGCTTTCAAACTAAATAAAAATGTAATCTTCATGGTGCAACGTTTGGAAAGTTTTCGTATATTCTGTACATAACTACGTACAACTCATACCAGTTATGTTTTATTTTTTAGAGAAACAACTATTTTTATCAGTTTCCATTAAGGAAATAGTAGTAAACGGACATTAGTAGGATTCAGATTACATAATGGTAATTGAGCCTGTCATAATGGCGGAATTGGAAACATTTTTCAATCATTCTGGTAACTAATTAATTGGTGGGATACGAACAACTTACTAAATAAATCTGATAAATTTACTGCAGTAACGCAGAATTCGTCACGTCTATCAAGGATTCTTTATGGTAAACCTCATTAAATATTATGCATGGTTTTGTATTGTATTTGATTGACTAGCGATTAGTTGATACTTAAAAAATACCACAAACACAACATAGTACTTGTAAGTAGCAAACAAACTAATATTACAATTCCTTCCTTCTCTGTGGTAATTTACTCCCGACTATTCCGCACTAAATTTTCAAGTTCTGACTTATTGAATTGATAACATTAATAAATGTCGCTAATTGTATTCTGGAAGCATGATTTTCAAAAATGTTGAATAAAATGGAAAGTTAATCGCAGTAGGAACGTTTACATATAAAGGATGAAACGTGACGGTTAATTGTAAATATATATTGATAAAATGTTTCTGTCTGATATTTAAGAGATTCCATCCAATTAGAGGTAACTCAGTAGAAATTCTCATGAATAATTTGAACATAAAAGGAAGTGTTATTTAATATCTTGTTAGAAATCAAAGTGTAATATCAAGTTTTAAAATCTAACATTAGTGTTTTGCGTTATCCCTAAGAAATATATCATGAAATGTTTTTTAATGTGTATTGATCACTAGAAGCTGGTAATTATATCTCAGACTCCCTTCATTACTCCATAAAATCTTACGGTAATTATTCGTTAAACGATGTTTCATACCTAGAATTTCAACCAGAAATGTGTTTAAAACACGTTCCAAACTCATTTAGACTTAAAGTAATTTGGGGAAACAATTATTTATACCTGTTACTCTTTGTGGAGGAGCATGGTCCTCTCACCAACATTCTCTATCCTGGGCAATCCTTTCCCGTTTCTATTCATTCTTTTGATGCCTGCTTTTGATTCTCGACTCTGTGTTCTGTGGTCTTTTCCGTTTCCCTTGAGGATTCCAGGTAAGCGCTTGCCTAATGATGCAGTTTGGTGATTTGCTCAATGTATGTCCTGTCTACTTCTAAAATCTTTTCCCAATTTTCTCTCCAACTGGGACCTGGTTTGTTCTCTCACACAGTAGGTTGTTGCTGATGCTATCTGACCAACGGAAATTAAGTATCTTGTGTAGAAAATTGTTTATAAATACTTGTACTTTCCTGATGATGGTTGTGGTAGTTCTCCAAGTCTGAGCTTCGTACAGTAGGACTGTCTTGACGTTCGTATCGACGATTCTGACTTTGATATTGGTTGACAGTTGTTTTGAGTTCTATGCGTTCTTGAACAGTAGGAATGCTGTCCTTGCTTTGCCAATCCTTGCCTTCACGTTTGTATCGGATCCTCTTTGTTCATCGATGATGCTACTCAGCTACATGAAAGATTCCACCTCTTCCAGAGCTTTTCCATCAAGTGCGATTGGTTTGTTGTTCTCTGTGTTGTATTTGAGGATGTTGCTTTTTCCTTCGTGTTTGTTGAGGCCTACTGATATGGAGGCTTCTTCTGAACAGTTTGTCTTGAACCTCATTTGTTGGTATGTATGGGCTAGAAGCATCAGGTCATCTACGAAGTCTAAGTCGTTTAGTTGCATGCAAGCTGTTGATTGTATTTCGTGCTTCTCCTGAGATATGGAGGCCTTCATATTCCAACCGCCAGAAGAAAGAGGAAGGGAGATGGTAAGCATCCTCGCCTGACTCCGGTTGTCACTTGGAATGTGTCTGTCAGCTTTTCTCCAAACATAACTTTGCACTGTAATCCGTCGTATGAGTTCCGGATGATTATCGATCAACTGGAAGCTGTCTTTATCAGTCAAACTTTAAACACTTAAGTCAGCTGTTAAAATCTTTGTCTCGTCCCACTGGTTTTTGTGATCAAACAGTATGGTTGTGAACTTATTGTGAAAAGAATAAAGCTTATCCATTTTATTTGAATCAAGTATCCAGCTGAGTGTACTTACAAAAAGACTTAATCAACGATACGAGAAATAAATCAAGTGCTCAGTACGTATTTTTATGAATCGATTATACGACTGAACAATTAGTTCTCATCACGGACTAAATTCAATCGGTTTACAATTATTTATCATCCAAATAGACATAAACAATGTCTTTGAAACTGGAGTAATTCATTCAATTAACCAACCGAACAATTAAATCATTATCCTTCTCTTCGCAATAAGTAATGTTACGTATACTAACTTGGATTGATCTTATTATCTCATTATCAGAAAGGTTTTCACTTTAAATCATTTTCATCATGTTGCTGAGAAAGAATTTTAGTGTTTACCATCTCTTCATTCATATCCATGGATATAAATCACAAAGAAAACACTTCAGTATTATTTTCAGAAAATAAATAATTTAGTGTTGGGACCCCTTGATTGTTCCTCGAAAAGGTTTCCAAAAGCGCAGAAAATGCTAAACGTAATTCGACCAATTACCGCTCTTTGAAAACTTACAAGGAAAATCTAAAAAAAAGATTGATAGATCATTTCTCTAAAAACTTCTAGAACTTCAAAATCACACATATTCACAATAATAATCGTTTTCTGAGCATAATCTAACCTCCAAAATAAGACTTTCAGACTTTTCACTGTCTGTTTTTTGTTCATGGCTCAAGTTTAGCATACCTCTTTCTATTCAGAAATTCCTGCCTGAGTGTTCATGTAAAAGGCCTATCAACAAAATAATACAGACTGTACTTTTAAGAATCTGTCTAGTTTGCTTGTCAATTAAAACTTAAAATCTAACCTCTGAAATAAACCTGAACGTACTATATTCTGTCTATTTAGAACTACGCATGGCGTCGAACATATAATACCTAATAATGCGATTATTAATATCAATCTGGACACTAGTCTAATGACCCGAAATTTCATGTGCACTATTTGGGTTTTACTGAGTTGGAGGTTTCGATAGGCCTAGGTATTGCCTAGTCGGTTCAGTAGTGACCGTAACATTGAGTGACGTAGTTTACAGTCCCATAAATGATATCAGTTCCCTCAAAACGACAGATATTCTATGAAATTAATTTTGAGGAAACTTAGATCAAGGTATTCTTGCCGACTGCTTACAACTATGCAAAGCTTAGTTCTCTTGATAACATTGAATATAGCAAATATAACAATTACTTCTACAGGAAAATCTAAATTTATCATTCTATTTTAAATTTTTTCATCATTTACAAACATTTTTAATTTACAAAGAATCATATGGTCAGTAAACAGACTTCAAATATATCGAATGTTAGCTTAGAAGTATAGGCTATCTGGAACTTGTAAGAAGCTTTAAAAGTAAAGGAGTATAACACATTTTAGTCACCAATTTTTATTTTCGTGCCATTCAGTATTTATATTAAAAAATTCTAAATGTTTTAGGCGAATAAAAACGACCTTTAATAAACGAGTTTCGTTTGAAAATACATTGGATCAAATTAAGTCTTTTCCAAACTTCACATCTAGAAATTATTGATACGATAAGTTATAGACTAAGAGGGACTGTACAACTGTTTCGTTCTAGTATGGGACTGTTCAGAAGTGGTCATCAATGCCCCCCTAGCGCTTGCTGGTTTTTGATAGTTGTTGGACTGAGATCAGTCCGTGATGCAAACTATGCAATTCCACAATTTCAGCAAACCGTCTATTGTGATAGAAACTAATAAGCAATGTCATAGTATCCTCCATAGTGCTGAACAAATAGATTATGAGGAATACAGTGAAAAATGACTTTATCACAAGTTGACTGACAGATATTTTAGTAATACATTGTTATAGAGGTTAATTAATTCAATGAAGTAAATGCTGTATAATACAATAACAATACCATATAAATGCTGACTGATCTGTATCATAGGAACTGTGATCTACAAGACTTGGTGTTTTTGTGCAAAAATGTTCTTCATGTGTATACTAATCCAAATGAGTTCATTAATCAAATACCTTAAAATTATAACAGGATTCATTGTAAAGTAAATTATGCCAATATATTTAAATAAATATTATGCATTTTCACTCTGTGATGATTTTTAACCACGTTCTAGAGCCGTCGATGAGACTTCATTAACTGTAAAATGTTCTATTAGAAATATTTTAATTAACTTCAGTGAAAGGAACGTTAGCTTTTATTTGACCACACATTTTCTAGACAAGTAAACAGGAACCATATATCATAAAATATGAAAGTGTATATCATGTCCTCTGAATTTAATTAAGATTATTGATTAGATAATTATCGTGATTCTGTATCGTCTCAAAATGTTTAAATAAGTTTCACCTGAGTGTAAAAGTTAAATAAAGATTATATGCATTTGGCTATTTATGAAACTAATTCTTAAATGAATACTTAGGTGGAAAATTTGCTCATAAGCAAATTTTTAGTATTAAATTTATCGAAAGTTAAAATTCAGATTTGAAAGGGAACCATGTCGATTGTTATGAATAGTATATTTTAGTATATATTAGAAGCTATCAAAACTAGTTAATGGGTTTTTCAATATACAGCTTATGATTTAGGGAAACCGTTATGACTTTCAAGGTAACTAAATTACCTAACAGATTCACATAGCTCACTGCTTATGATCTAACCAAACAACGACGTAGGCCAGTTTTAAAGAATCATTTTGCCTTTAAATAGACAGCGAATCATCTCGAGAGTTTTTCATTTTTACTTTAAGCGTTCAGATGAGTTGTACTTTGGCTAGCATCTTCTTTAAACAGATCTGTCTCATCTATCTGTTGTAAGTCAGTGAGAGTCTCGGGGTAGAAGATCAGTCCATGAAGAGATAAAAGATGGATTGGTTATCTCTCGGATCAATAATTTAAAACAATAAACAAAAACATAGATGAATTTCAAACGGAAACATACATAGTACGCTATAAAATAATGGGCTTTTGGTTGGATTTCGAATTCACATGGCAAAAAAGTCTAATCACAATTCAGACCCAAATATTGACAATGGCATAACTCAAACTTTTACTAATACAGATCCAAATAGTACAGCTATAACAAACTAGGATTTTCCTTTTGTTTAATGCTTATTAAAATTAAAATAACATAGAAGCTAAACAAACGGTTATTAGTCCAAAATAAGTAGTAAGTATATTAATAAACTAGGATTCTAATGACACTGATTACAACCTAACCCAAATATGATCACCTTTACAGATATTTCTATAACCGGAAAATATATAAACAAATGGACTAGGCTTTGTCTACTTATGGACAAAGCATTTAATTGGCGTGATATATAGATAATGGGATATCGAAATGTTCATAACCTAATAAACGTATAAACTAGAGACTAAATATAGTACAATTTTTCATTTAATTATATAAAAATAAATCACAATAATGGAGTTAGTAAGTTATGTTTTAACTTTTAACGTTAGTGTATCTTCATTATCTTGAAAGAATAAATTAGTTATAAAACAATTTCGAACTCTGTAAATTAAAAATGTTACATGACCAGTAAGGATTTATCATTAAGCCGTTGGAAATCATTAAAATATTTACTTGACGTCAGAATAATTCATTCGATTCTCAAAATTAAGAAGTATGTTTCATTTAACTATACATTCGTGTCAAAGTATTTATGTTGTAATATTTTTAGTAATCCCATTAGATTGACCATTCGTTCTAATTTATTTTTGACTTCTCATGCAAACTAACAAGAACGAAACTCAAAAATAGCTGTGGTCGAGTTTCTTTTTCATTATCTAAACTGGTAAGCGAAAAATAAACATTGAGAGATCAACCAAACTTATACAGCTGTGATAATGTGACAGCCTGAATCGATGCCTGTTCATCCCAGGCCTACGTTTTCCATGTCTCACTGAGTGACTGAGAATTTGAATTCAAATATAAGTACAAATTTAAGTGTATAGAATAATCTCTTATTGTCCATCTCTTCTTAATGTTCTTGTTCTTCAAGCAGTAATTGAAATACTTTATTGTCTTTTCTTTTTTTCAGTACAACTCAACAGGAAATTTATAAATGCTTAAAACCTCTGAATTTAAGTGTACACAATAGTCCTGTAACCGATTTTTATGCAGCACAGTAATTTTTCCGTACTATTTGTTCGTTTATGTTTCTTCACCCTTTAGTTCGAATCCATCCTTTGTATCTCTGAAAAGCTTCCATCATATCAAAACACACATAAGAACAAAGAAAGTTCTTTTCAATAAATTCTCTTCAGGTTCTACAGTTCTATTTTCAAATTAGAAAACCAAAAAGTGAGCAGGTTCGAGCCAATTACATCGTTTCAAATTATAGTGTGTGAATTCAAGATTGTTTGTAAAATATCATAAAATTGTTAATGTTGAAACGATTAATATGCACCGGTAACTTGAATAGGTTGATACGTTAAATGAAATTGTATGATTAATAATGAGCATCAAATATAGATGACATAAAGCGAGAGAGATAATAATAATAATAATGCAAATCGAATTAAATAATTGGTCAATATTCTTCGTTGAGTTACGGGTTTAAAACTTGATTGAATTGCATTGATTTTAGTTGTAAAATGATATAATTAACCACTGCATACTAAATGTAACTCATAGTCTAACCACTTTCGAATTAAGGAGATTCTGCGATGTGAAATCGGCAAAATACCGGGAACTATAAATGATACTAAGTGATTTTGATGAGTTTATCAGGAACGTTTTTAAATTAAAAAAGGATTAAAAAATGGTGTCAGCATCATTCACTAATCAATTTTATTAGGGAGTTAATAGGGAATCCTCAACTTTATCCTAAAACATAATAAAACCAATATAGTATTTATACAGAGCAATTCAGTCAATTGACTAAAAGTTTTACTGTATCATATTGTGAAGCATTCACTGCACAAACTAACAATAGTATTCAGTGTGTAGGTAACGTTTATCAATCTGATTTCCTCAAAATTTTCTTGCTTTTTGCTCAAAAGAAAAGTCAAGTGTATTTGTTTGGTCTTTGCTACAACAGAAAATACAGTTTCAATTCTTATCATTTGGTCGTGCTTGTTTCATTTGATTTTCACCACATTACTATAAATCACACCTTTTAAAATAAATCGAAATCAATAAAGGAACCTGAGCATCTTTGATGTAGTATTTCCTATTCTTATTTATTAGATTAAAACTGGCATAAAGGTTAACAATGGTGATAGTTTCTGCATGTTTTTCAGTTTTAGGTGTAAATATAGTGAATAACATCTGTTGAAGTCAGTGCTTTTTTGATGTTTTTCCAGTTGTCCTCCTTAGCAGTTTCTTCTGTGAGTAAATCTTATAAGGCTTGGAACCTGCTGTTGAGAGCTATCTTGAATTCGTTCAGTTTGTGAGCATCTTGAAGGAAGGTTGTATTGAACCTTTGTAATGCTGTTTTCCCAGTAGTCATTTCTTGATAGGGTATGTTGGAATGTGCTTTCGCTCTTCTTAGTAAAGTTTCATATTCAGTCCGTCTTGTATGCTGCTGGGTTTTTAGTATGTTATATAAAAATTTGATCAGTATAGGATGACTTCTCATTCACTTGATTCTCTAACTTTCCAGTGGCAGTTCCGGGGAACAACTCATCCAATAGTTGATAGTTTGCTGTTTATTTCCCTTTTCTTTGTTAACCTTATATCACAAAAATCGTTTCTGATAATATTGTAGGTGCTTACCACTCCGTACTTCTTGATGATAATGAATGTGTTTTCCATACAACACATTTTGGGTTTGATCACTGGTTGTTTGAAAGCTTATCCCTCGTTCGTATATGTGAATTTCTCTGGGATTAGTTGTTTTAACTGTTGAATTGGATGTCAAGAATTCTTATTCTAGTTGTATTGATTTTAACCTATTGAGAAGGTCTGGTTGATTATCAATAACTACCTTAATACACACTTGACACATGCTCTTGGAAGATGGACTATACTTGAAAGTCGTCATTTTATATTATTGCAACTACATCCTTGATTCTAGTAGCCTTCGTGGCATAGATGTTAGGCTTTTAGATTTAAATCATCAATGTATCAAATACATTTAAATTTTGGGGTTGCTACATATTGTAACTATTTAATTACGCATCAGGAAACAAATATTCCACCTGTTTTATATTCATTCGAACTGAACAATTATGAATGCTAACTGTATGTACTGAAACAGAAACACTGAGGTTCGTAGTACATTTTCCTTTTTATCTATCCTTTAACAATTCGAGAGACAAATAAACTGAAATTCTTGCATTCAGTATCTGCTGGATGAAAGAATAGTTGTATCAGCTTTGGTAGAAAACCTTAATGACTTCAATATACATAGGAGATACTGATTATGGGAAGGATTTTTAAAATTTACTTTGAATAATTACAATTGAATGTATGTTAAACAGTTATTTGTTGAAACAACGGGCGCTGAGAATCCTTTACTTTATTGTATTTTGAAGTTCACTACATACAATTCAACCTATTGTCTCCGTTTCTTATTGGATATAAATTTCTTTAAATTAATTATAATGATGTAAAAATGTGAAAACTAGTGAGTTATGTAACACAATTGGTTATTATATAACTTAATGAGACAAAACAAAAGAAAACATTTTCAATCAAGGTCTACATTATTTAAAATTAGTCTAACTTTTACATAATTTAAAATTTAGTATAATACGATAAACAAAATAATTAGGTTAATCTCATCATATTCCTTTATTGTTGTAAATTTAACTTTAAAATTTCGCAGAATAATCTTTATCTGGATAGAAAGTTTATGTTTATTCCTTAAGTGCGCATTAGTTTGACCTTGACACGATTCATCAATCAATGGAATAGTAGTGGAATGACCAATCATACAGTTAGTAAACGATGTTGTTATGGTTACAATAGGAGTATATAAAATGTATTCCTCATAGAGATTTTCAAAAATCATATTAAAATTTACGCGTGACTGTATCCTTCTCATATAATAAATATTAAGTGATTAAATCAGGAATAAGTAACATTATTTGAAAGCTTTCTAATCTGTGAAGAAAATACACATATAATAAAAACCATCAGATTCAAAAATGATTTCAACACCATCGTCTACAATTAATCCAAATCATGAGGACAAGTTGAAATTATTAAATGCTTGTCGTCAAGGTGATTTAGACTATTTAGGTAAATTTATTGTTGATGGAGGAAATCTCCGAAATGTAATCGATAATCAAACTGGACAAACTACATTACACTATTGTGTTAAATTTGGAGAAGAGAAAATTGCTAATGAAAAAGATGATAAAAAGCCGAATGGAAATGACATTCAGATATTTCAACGACAATTGAATAGATTAAAATGTACACGAGTCATAATTAAATCAAATCCGGAATTTTTAACTTACTACGATCATAATGGATTTACTCCGATACATTTAGCAGTTATTCATGGTGATATAGATTTTTTAAAAGTATTAAATGAATTTAATAATGTAGATATGAAAATTAAGACAAAAGCAAGATCAATAATGTCATCATCATCATCATCAACAAGTCATAGTGATTCAAGTGAAATAAATAATACTGGTCGGACAATTATACATCTATGTGTTATTTACTCACAATTAGATGTTTTAAATTATCTTTTAACTAACAGTAATAATCATAATTCTATAAAAGAAATTGTAAATGAATATGATGATCAAGGTGCCACAGCTTTACATTATTCTGTTCAAGTGAATTCTGAACAAATCGATGAACTGTTTGAATTATTAATCAATATCGGTGGAGCAAATTTAAATGCACCGGATACACATGGTCGTACACCAATTATATGGGCAGCTACAGTTGGTTCTGCGCATGCTGTAGAAGTATTACTTAAATTAGGTGCTAATTTAAGTCATAAAGATTCACATGGTTTGACTGCATTACACTGTGCTGCATCTAGAGGTAATTTACAAACAGTTCAAACTATCTTGAATTGGATAACAATTGCAAACAAAGATGATGAGAGTAAAATTGCCCTGCTTCGTGATGTAAATGATAATGATGGATGTAGTCCATTGTTTTATTCTGTTGCAACTGGTCATATTCATGTGACTGAATGCTTTATTAAAGCTGGAGCCGATGTTATGCATACAGATTTTAAAGGTCGTACTGTGTGTCATTGTTTAGCTAGATTAAATTCATTGTCCAATGGGATTAAATTTGACAGTCTTATCAAAACTCAATTGACCTGTTTAGTTGAGGCTGGTTTAAATCCATGGCTTGCAAATAAAACTGGTTTAACAGCTTTACATGAAGCATGTTTACTAAGAAATGTATCTTTTATTAAGCAGTTAGCTAATTTACCAGGTTTTAATACGGTTGTAAATGCAACGGAATCTCAAGGTCATACCCCATTGCACTTAGTTGTAGCAGCTTCATGGAGTACTGAACCATCTGGTATTAGATTGTGTCATTATCTGTTAGAACATGAAGCCGATGTGAATGCTGTCACTCGTCTACCGAATGATGAATATGTTACCCCATTAAATCTTGCTTACTTAAATGAAACTAATGATGAAACATCGAAAAATTTACTCATTAATCTAATAAAACAATATGGTGGTCGGACATATCAGGAACTATCAAATGAAGGAGAAGTTAGCATTGATAAGTTTCAAAGTAGCGGTAATGATAGTACCAAAATCGATATTCGCACTAATGGTAACCATAATGATGTTAATCAAGAGAAAATGTCAGCATCTGGTGTTTTCAATCCAGAAAATGAATTAAAGCCAATAGGTAAAACAGACATTTCAAGTTCCATGGTCGTTGAAACAATAGTGGGAGAAAAACCACAGATGATTGATTCATCCACTGAACCAATAAGCGAATTTATTGTGTCCCTAACATTGAAGGATTCAAGTGTACAAACATGTCTGGATAGGAGAAGGCGAAAAAAGCTGTCAACACAATCTTTACCCTTATTGTCTTCTGAAGAACCAATGCATGAAACTATTAGCACAGCACATAATCGACATGTAACGGATAAATCCTTGAATGAATCACTTAGCGTCACCTCAACTGAAAGCTCTTCACCCATTACTTTAAAGAATGGAAGTGGAAGAAACAGCTCAAGTAA